CTTTTTTAATTTTACATACAAATCCATAAAGATTATCACAACTAGCATCACTCCAACCATAAGAACTTACTTCCACGCAGTTTTCTCCTCCAAAGGAATTGTCAGGTTGATCCTGCCTCCAATTAAAGAATAACGGAGTTGTATTATCAGACCAATCAAATCTTTTCTGAAGAGTATTGAGACCTTTAAAAATATTGATAATAAGTTTCAAAAATATTATCATTAAAGTTAAACAAACATAGTGAAACAGTTAAAATTAGTGTACCAATCCAGAAATGCAAATCGTTCATGCTGTTATTTTTGAGATAGTTTAAAATGAATAAATTTTCTTCTTGATCTGCTACACTGAGCAAATTTCCCCCATTATTTAAACAATATGAAAAAGAATCTGTCCAACTTTTTCCAGATTGTGTGGGACTTCCAGTTTGGAAAAGATAACAATACATTCCATATTTAACCCAGCCATCAGGACAAACTTGGCCTTCAGTCTCTAAACAAAGTTTTATAATATCACTTTTTGTAAATTTCATAATGAACATTTTAATTCAAAATAAATAAAACTACCACTTGCAAAAAAATATTTAAATAATCCGAAATAAACTTATATGATAACAATACTATAACACATTTATTGCATTTTTAAATCTTTTTCTTATAGTGTCTATTTCTCAACTTTTTGTTATTTGCTGATGGTAAAAAGCTGTTGCTCTTTTTAAAGTCATCATTAACCTCATTACTATATATATATATATATATATATATTATATATATATATATATTATATATATATATATATATATATATATATATATATATATATATATATATATATATATATATATATATATATATATATATATATATATATATAGTATATATATATATATATATATATATATATATATATATATATATATATATATACATACTATATTTTTTAGTATATTGTATGACAGATATATGTTCTACAAAAATAAAAAATTTATTTGAACATATAAATGTTAGCAGATTATATGAACCACATATTAACATGTATAAGGTATAAAGCTAAACTGTTCGAATTTTAACTTTCATTTAAACTGTGCATAATGTGACGTTAAACTTTTCAAATTTCAAGTATTTCTTAATCTAAAAAGTCCTAAGGCTGAAAGAGCAAACCTTTTACAGCATAACTTATATTTCTTATTTACTCACCATGTGGACGGCAAAAAAGAAAAAATTCTTACCTGGAAAAAAAAGTTAAAGCTGTTAATTTTTCCATTGCATTCAATAAAAGTTAATATAAAATTTATTTTAATTAAAAACTTAGAAAAATTTTATGTAGAAATTTGAAAGAAATTTTAATTTGAAAGTTTAAAAAATTTAAGTTTTTCATGTGTTAGTATTTATAAGTTATTATAGCACTTTTAAAAGTTTATTTATGTTACCTTGAAGTAACAAATAAACTTATAAATGTGTATACAGGAAAAATAGACCAAGATGAAAATTGAGATTACAAGTTTGATAATTTTAAAATAATAGTAAAAACTTTAGTTTATAAGTTACACAAAGAATTAAAATTTTCTGGGTACATCTAGTTTGTTAGACATTTTTTGTTTTCACTTCAAATAAAAACTATATTATAATCAATTAAAACTTCTATGTAGTTTTATAAAAATTATAGATAAATGCGCTTTATCATCAAAAAAAAAGTTTAAATGCATTTACTGTAAATGCATAATCAAACTTTTGTTATGTTAAAATTGAAATAATGGCCAAAATATGTTGCATAAAAAAAAACACGGATCTTTTTTAGAGGTTTAATGTTGAAGTTACTTTTACATCAGATTTTTTAAACCACTTTTTCAAGCATGTTAAATTGAAATAGAAACCGTTGAAAATAAATTAAAAACTGCATTTTTGTAATTTTCTGACCATTTTTTTAAATATTTAATATCTTCAAAAAATCAGGGGTTTTCTTAACATTATGTGACCGTATCTTTTAAGCGTCAAAATATCTTATGACAAATTTAAAACCTAGTTACAATTTATTATTCAATTCAAGATAAAAAGTTATTGTTTTTTAAAAATTAACTTACCTTAATCTGAGGGCGCTTTGAAAGGGTATTTCTGCCCTACTGATCTAATTATTAGATAATTAGATCACAAGGACAATAAAATAATTAAATAACTAGAGCAGGATAGTCCTGCCCTAGTGATTTTAATTCCGTGACATTTTGTAAAAAATTATCATTTTAATGAATATTACAGAAATATTAGTTGCAATTATCTTCTTGTCAAAAACTGTTTAGAATGCAACAAATTTTCCGGTTTTACTGATACTCACAATACATAAATAAATCTCTGATAACAAATTCAAAAATGCAAAAAATCCTCTTTGTAATGTAATTGAGTAAATGAAACCTTTAAATATATTGAAAATAACTTTCAAAAAAATCATTACAGTTGAAAAAACATAGTGAAGCAGTTAACGTTAGCGTACCAATCCAGAATTTGTTACATTTTATAATATTAAAAATACAAACAGTATTTTAGAAAATATAATATGTAACCAAAGAGATATTGTATTTTCCAATCTAAATATACTCTCGAAAAAACTTCTTTCTATCTCGCTAAATTGTCATCAACAACAATAGTTCAGTTTGCACTGCTTCAAATGTTTGTTCTGATGTAATACTGAACAGGATCTAATGCTGATCGAGATACTACTAAAAATGGAACCTAACTATGTGAAACATGTTTATAGATATATATATGTGCATATAAGTATATAGTATATATATATATATATATATATATAGTATATATATATATATATATATATATATATATATATATATATATATATATATATATATACATATATATATATATATATATATATATATATATATATATATATATATATATATATATACATATATACATATATACATATATATATATATATATATATATAGTATATATATATATATATATATATATATATATATATATGTATATATATATACATACATATATGTATATATACTTATACATGTTTATAAATGTATATATATGCATATAAGTATATATCATATATAACCACAGTGCCGGTTTAACCAAAGGACACTGGGTACACGCAGGAAGGCTACGGAGTTCAAAGGGTCACAGCATCTCAGTGAATTTTTAATAGATATATAATTTGAAAAAAAAATTATTTTTGGCTTCTATCGTTGACCTCTTCTCAATTCTTAGAGATCTTTAATCTTTGTACAGACAAAAAACTAGATAACTTTATATAGACAAAATACTTCAAACATAATTTCTTAGTTAGCGAAATCAATTTTGCAAAATATTTCTCAATCATCTTTATTTCTACTCCCAACTTGTAGAAAACGGAAAACCAGTTGAGCGGTTCTTAGCATTCATTCCCATGTACAATCACCGACAATCAGAAAGCAAAACCATAAAGGGAGATCTTCATACTTTAAAACAAAATAGAACAACTTGAGACAAATATATTAACAATCACTTGTAACAGACGTTAACAAGAAACTGCAGTTTGTAAAGCTTGATTTGGGTATATTTGACGAACTGTAAAACTCCCTGGAGCATTACGTGAAACAGGTTTGCTCCAATTCCAAGCAATGCAAAAACAAAGCCGTATTTTTTGTCAATACGGATTAATTTGTCTATGTTCCTAGGCTCTTAAGAGCACACAAAAGACATTACAATGATAAAATTAACAAATTATTTTCAGGAACGTGTTTCATATCTTTCATTTGTTTAAATATAAAACCAGGTATTGGATTCCATCAACCTAAAAAATATTATACCTGCATTTATAAGCCTTGTTCGTCAAGGTTTGTGTTTTGGAGTTATAGACTTAAGAGAGGGCTACAACCACAGGTAGCCTCATCATCTGTAGTGGTCTTCTCAGCCTTAGAGGAAGGGGTGGGTTGAATTAAAAAAAAAACAACTTCTGTTAAATTTGAATAATAGAAGGTTAACAGAGACCTAAAGTGCTGGCCAAGAAGTACTTAACCAGCCCTCTATAAACATGTATATATATAAATATATATATATATAAATATATATGTATGTATGTATATATCTTATATTGCTGAGTTAGGTGAGCATGATGACGTCATACTAAAGTAGCCTGCTGCCGGGGGCTTCAGTACATACATCGGCTGACAAATAGCCTGACTCGCAGTGGAGTGCTGCTACATCGACTGAGGGTTTGGTATATGTCAGCAACCTTTTCATTCATTTTTTTGTTTTCCCTCATCGTTTTCTAAAAAATTTCACTTAATTTAGGCTAGCAAAAAAAGTGAGCAATTGCGAATATAACGTCTGTTCACAAAATATCCGGAATAAAAAATTGTTCTTAATTAAATACAAATTTAATTGATTTTTGACAAAAATTTTAAATAAAATGAGAGACTGGACATCGTTAACTATTTTATGACCAAAAGTGGTCTAAATCAGTGGCTTTTCGAACTTTAGTTTTGACTGAATCCATTAGGTTGAAAAAGTCAAGATTTTTCGCAGTAAATCCATTTCCATAAACTTTTGCTTTTAAATGTGCCCAAATATTTTCAATTGGCTTTAACTGCGGTACATTTGGGGGGTTATCTTTAGCGTCGACAAAGTTAATACCTAAAGTGTTGTAAGTTTCTAATGTGTGTTTTGCATAATGACATCTCGCTCCGTCAGGCCAAAATAAAATTTTCATGTTTTGATGCTTGGAATTTATTAATGGATGAAGTCTTTTTGTAATACATTCTTTAGAATAAATTTTTGCATTCAGTGCGCAGTTTTTTACAGCAAAATAAGGCGATGAATGACTGAAACGACTGATTGCAATCCAAACGAGAACTTTCTCGTTAAATTTTTTTTGAAGTTGAATTTAATGTTAGGATCAGTTTGAGAACTATCCTTTGTATAGAAGCCAGAGTTTTGTGAACAATTTGCACCATTTACACAGAAATAAGATTCATCGTACATGATGATTTCAAACTCATTTGATGGCTTGAAAAAATTTTTTGAAAGTTTTAATAAGTTTTTCTTTTGTTTAATTTCTTGCTTTTCTGTTGTTTTTGGTGCATTTTTTTTTTGGTATACTTCAGTCCATGCATACTTAATTATCTATTTACGTATGAAACGCTTATCTTATATTTTAGTGCCAATTTTCTTTGCGAAATCCCGATTCTCTCTGTTGCTCTTGCAATCGTGAACTCTTTCTTTTCTGGTGAGATTTTAAAAGGTTTTCGGCCGCAACCGATTGAGTAAAAGGGGAATCATTTCATCCCTCGGCTTCGCGAAAATTACAAATTTTTAAGAGTTATTATTATATTTTTTCCTAGCCTTTTTTGATCTCACTGAGTGGAAAAGCTTTTTATATTTATATTTTTTTTAAATTAGAAACTTTAGGCCTTTTTCTTTCATTTCCATTCTTTGGTATTTTATTTCTTCAAAAAAATAGTCTGGAAATTAGGCTATTCG